TTAATGCTTTCCCGTTCTCTGTCGATATTGGATATGCAAATGGCCCGACTATACAGCCACTTTAAACTTCAAGTTATTTACGTATTCAATCTAGTGATCGCGTGTTAATATTAAGTTTCTAAATCGCGTATTCCCGATAACACGTACAACGCGGATAGAAACATGATTCTGTCGTGTAAAATTTGCGAATATGGTTATCAATAGATAACGAACGCATTCAGGCAAATAGAAATCTAATTTTAATCTTTCACAATTCGTGTATTCTGTACTTTCGATTCGATTCATTAACGGTGTCGATAGATTTTTTAAATCAATCACACTACCTGTTAATTGATTAAACGATTTTTATTGATTTTCATTTTGAAACAAAATAGCTTCTGTTATATTTTTTAACAAATTTCCAACAACATTTTCTAAAGTCTTGGAAGGAGCCATTGTTTCTATTTAGTAAAACATTTAATCTTTCCTCTTTGCGATCGTTAAGGGAACAATAATCGTTCACGTAATTGGACATGTTGCACCGATGCGCATTTACATGCAAAGCTGAGAAGGGCAGGCAAGTGGCGACGTGGAAACCGTCTCGGATAGATATGAAAATATCAGGGAAATACCAGGGAAGTACACTCCGTGCTGAGGTCATACCAGCCTGCTAAATCGTCTGGTATTTCTGCACGTTGCTAGGCCGTGTATCCATGACCTCGACATATAGACAACAACGAGCATTTTGGTTTCTATCTCGTCGTTTTGTGAATCCACGCGAACGCCTATTTTATGTATTTTTGCTACAACGTATCGTCGGTTTACTGAAAAAGTAGTAGATTCAAAAGATTGTTAATTTCGAGATATCTGCAAGAATTACTGAAAAAGTGTATCAAATGCAGAGTTTTGTAATTCGAGCTCGCATTATGTCATTTTGCATGAACTTCTATTTTATAAATACATATAAAAATGTCTTATGTATCTTTGATATTTCTTCAGAAAATCAGTGTGATAGTTACACTGATTTACCCTGAGATCTCCAGGGTGGTTTCACCCCTTAATTAATCGTTTTTGTATCAGCGATCCTCTTAAATCTATTACTTTACGAGGATATTTCTTTCAATTCTTCAAGACATAGATAATGTTTGCATCAAATCCAGACACCATCTTACACGTAATTATGTAAGATGAATAAGTGGGAAGTTATCAGATTTATGGTTCTTCTGATGAAATTTTAATGGATTCTGTGAGTCCTGCGGTATTATAAGCGCATGGCTGTTCATTGGAAATATGATAGGAAAGTTTTGTAAAAACATTTTAAACCAGGAAATATGAGAAATTTCTTATCCGCTTAAATCATGGCCTTTTGGTTGAAGAGATAATATTGGAATTAAATTTCATGAACATGTTCAGATTTGTATCCTTTATCCTTTCTATGGTGTTTAATTTATTATAGATTTTCAGCTACAAAATAGCATTTGAATGATAACTTTTCATGAATTTGTTTTAATTCTTACCTACACCAGAAAGAAAATTCTAAATGCCATTAAAATCCTAATAGTAATACGAGACAGCAAATTGAAACATTGGATTAAGAAACTAATCCTTAATATCCTTGCTAATCCATATTATCCTGTACAGTACCACGCATAGCTTTTCTACTGTGGCAATCATAGTGTGAAAGTACATTTTATTACAATGTAATAAACCTTCAATTTGGAAAATTAAGAAAGAAATTGACCAACGAATTTGGAATGTTGAAAAAAAAAACAGCCAAGAAAATCTTCAAAGCTACCAATCTCTTCAGTTCATTATAATAAGAAACAGTTAAAACATTTTTTTATTTGATTAAAAAGTAATAAAAGGTCTTCTAAATTTTAGCACATCAAAATTTTAATAATCAAGTGTTTGTTAATTGAATTTTATTCGAATTAAACAAATCTATGAGTAGATTGTTGAGATCCTAAAACAATAGTAACCACTGTGTTACAAATATTTGTAAAATACAATTTAGACGGTGTTTGATTGTCTGTTTACAAAGCCGGACTGGTACCGGAAATATATCTTATTGTTAATTTCTGGGAAGTGTCCGAGCAAGATTACACGAGATAGGGAAATTCGAAGCGGAAGCAGCGGATGGATGCAAACAAATTGAAAATGCAAACACTGGTTTTCTATGATGCAAGGCAACTGGTTATTGTGATTCATGAAGCGTCTGCTGTCAACAGCGTAGCGCAACGGATTTAATTTCCGTTTTAACGTGAAGAATTCTGGCAGCAGGAATTAAAAGAGCAGAGGGAATTCGTTGAACGTGGATCTACATTTTTCAGAAAAGTATTCCGACCAAGCATTATCATTTTATTTACTCTGCTCGATGTTTCTGCAATGATAGCGGAAAAATTCAATCAGCTTAAAGTGGAGGGATTCTTTCACTGAAACTGTATTTTTCTGTTTAAGCGAACTGAGTGTCAGAATATTAACATCTTTAGCGAACAATGAAAGTGTAAGAATGGAACTTGTTGCATATTTGCTAATGAAGTTGAGCCATAGTTTGCTTTAACGAAGAATCAGTCATTTTATATTGAGAATATTATTGAAACTTTTATATGGACATTTTCGTTGAACTTTAAGCTTCAATTTTATGTAATGCAAGTGTCAATTTGGGATACTTTTATGTCATGAAATTATGCTAGACTATTCATCAACAACCCATTCTCTTGAATTGCATTGCTTTGATGTTTACCGCTAATTAATAACCGGCCATTTTGTATTGAGAACATTAACGAGGGGTGCATGTATGTCATTATTTTCATTGAACTGTATCAATCAAATTGATATACCATAAGTGTTGTTCCATCAAACTTTTATGTCATGAAATCATGTTAGAACTTTTATGTTTCAATCAGCGAATTAGAAAATGAAAAAATTAATATTCTTTTCTAATATATTTTTCAAATAATTCACCTCGCTTTTCCTAAAATAGAGACGGCATAATTTCATATTAATTCGAGGGAGTGTAATTTTAAAATATTGTTGCTCTCGCAATCATCATTGAACTATTCCTCTGGCGGCAGCTGTGTTTAATTGCCTGCAACGAAATGCGAACTTTTAATTGTGCCGTACCCCCTTGCTTCCGTTGCACTTTTATGGTAATCTGCACCAGGTGATTAAAAGCATTCCCTTATCAACCGGCTAGCGTTAAAGTAAACGCATGTTGATTACAATGCAGCTCGTTATTCGACACATAATTTCTGTTAATGCATTATTTGGGTTTAGCTCGTGTATAATTGTGACACCTGCGACTGCAATTACAAGTGAGAAGGTAACAAACATAATTTCTGGTAGTTACAAAAAAATTGTTCATGGAATATATCAATAATTTTCTTACATTAGTAATTAAAAAGCAATCATTGTTATAAAATTTCAACCAATAATTATTGATAATTCAATGAGGAAATATTGAAAATTGTCAATTAGTAAAAATTTCAATTAAAATGCGAGTATTTAGAAAATTGTTTTATGTTTCACAAAAGTTAAAGAATCAGTGATCCTTTGACTTTGAAACAAATTTAACGATAACTTGGCGAGAATGATAAAGTTTTCACTTTGTTATGTACAGTTCCGCGAATAACTATTAAATTGTCTCGAAGATTGAAATTTTCGTCCCGTTACAGTCGGGACGAGTAAATCGATACAAAATTGTTGAAAATCGGGTCATGGGTGAAACTATACCGTAACGGCACTGCGCTCTGTATGCATGCATCTATTATTTGTGGGTTACAAATGTCCTGATTGGAAACGATGGAAATGAAAATGATTTTTACGCTGATTAAAATCCGTCTTAAAATTTCGCTCACAGTTAATTACACCGAATTGCATTTTTTTGTTTATAAATTGATTTATAAATTGGTTTATAAATTGACTTATAAATTGACTTATAAATTGATTTATAAAAATGTTTATCAGAGGTGCTCAATTTCAATTGAACAAAGCTTTAAAATTCTCATGCAACGAATTTATTTGATTTTTATGGCGATAAGTGGAAATCCGATTAAAAAAAAATAAATAATAAATTGGGTACACATGTTTTGGGCAATTATACTGGTGCTACACTGGAAAGCTCGTGTACATCTCGAAATCATGATTGCATTATCTACATAACTCTCATGAATGCAGCCATCAGAGTACAAGCACCGGGGATGTCAGTTCACAATGCAATCGAGCTGAATGCGATTCAGATCTGGCCGAATACTACGCATACATGACAGATAAAGAGTTACGGGGATTCCGTAAACTTTGCCAAATTTTATTGCTCTTAATTAGTGGAAGATTGGGAAGCCTTTGATGGATTGACTCTCGTACTGCTGGAAAGTCAAAGAGCTTTAGATGAATGAACCTTTATAATGATAATGAATCAAAGAACCATATTTAGTCGAATTAACTTTGAATTGATTAAAAAAAGCCAAAGAATTTTAAGCGAATTTTAGATCAATCAGTGGGCTCTGGATAAGTTATAGTAATTGCTTAATTAAATTAGATTTGCTGTATAACGTTGAAGATGTTAATTAAATTTGAAGGTTCTTCGGTCCATAAATAAATAAGTAAATTGAAAGAAACTAAAGTAAGACAGCTTACTAATTCTAAGTCTGGAAAACAGCGAGGAAGTCACGTTCGTATCATAAACCTCGTCTATGTCGCAAACCTCACCATTCAGAGGTTTTGCATAATTTACGTATGATACATTTTTCTCAGAAAAGTCATTAGGTGTATTAAAGTCAAAACATTTCACAAATTTTAGAAAAAAGGATTTTCCACCTTATTGGTAGTATGTTTTTTCCAAGTTTGAAAGTGCAAAAAAATCTTCACTTCTGGCACTTACGTCGTTTATCATTTCAACTCTTCATTTCTTTATCAAACGAAGAAAAAAAAAGTTGCTTGAAAATTGCCTTTTTCCTGGCTTGGTTTTGCTGTATCATCGTTCGTCGTTTCATTTCAGCATCGCGCATAAAACAAGGACTTACCATCCTCGATTATCGCCCTCCTGTCGTAAGGTGGCTTCTGTTTTGCAAGCATTACCCCGAATCCGATGAGAAAAGTGAACTACAGCTTGAAAGCTTCGTTTCAGGATGTTGTTTCTGTGAACAGAAATTGTGCTTAAAATTAGATTTCTGGGTAAACATCAGTTTCCTCAATTTATAATATTCCAATTTTCTCAATTTTCCTAGTTATGAATTTTTTCACTTTCTCATTTTCTCATTTCTTAATTTGTCAAATTTTTAATTTTCCAATTTCATAATTTTTCAACTTCCTTTTTTCATTTCCTGATTTCCTACATTTTTGACTCAAATAATTTTGTATCTCATAGCTTAGCACAGGATCGTAGTCGAAATATTAGGTAGCTACATATGAATCAGTCGATTTATCAGCTATAGAGCTTTCTCCATTACTTCAGAGACACCGTATGTATAATGAACTTGTCATTTCGTGACACAATCGCTGTCACTTCCAGAATCCACGCTCTGCTTAGCCATGAAATTATCTGTAATTTCGCCAGGTTTGAACAGATTTACACTTTGTTGACCTTTTTTAGCAAAATTGAAACGTGAATGATAAAATGCATCCCAGGTAAAGTCGGATAAGGGTGAAAGAAAGAAAAAATATTATTCTACAATGGAAGCGCTTACATTCATACGTTATTGTTGAGAGTAATGAAAGCATTGCTATTGTTTTGTTCCACTTCTAATTTATTTATTATTTTGCAGCTCTGCCATTTTCCATTGCGTTTACGAGTAACATGAACAAATAGGTACATTTGATAACTTGTTACCATTGGAAAAGAAATGTCAACTGTTTATTTACGTAATTTCATTTCAGAAATTATCCAGGTTATTATTGCTCCCCTTTTCTGTCTAATTTATTTGTATCAACTATTTAGCAGAAGGGTTTAGAACCTTAAATGCAAATGGTCCTTGCGAAACCTAATAAACATGAGTCAAGCTATTAATATTGTCAGAGTTATGGTTAATTTGTTCTCTGTTTTGCTTAAATTAAATGGCTTCCTCGCTTCTGCTGTTAATGGCTTTAATTTTGATCGCGTTCTCCTATTTCACCTAAGCATATGTTCTCTTTGAAATATACACTATTCTGTAGTAGCAACAATTATGTATAACAGTAATTACTATAAATTTCTATCAAATTAATCACGTTCTAAATCTAAATTATAAAATGAACATTAATTTTTGTTTTTCATTGATACCTAAATACTATAAATAAATGTTCTATCTTTTAATAAAACAGAATCGCAATTCATCTGACTGATATAAAACATTCACTCCTTTTTTGTTGTTAACTTCAATATGAAGTAAGTTCAAAAGGCAGATTCTATTTACGGTTTCAAAGGCACATATGAAATCAATTCTGACGTCTTTACTCGATTAAGTATTCACGCGTTATCGAACTGAAACGGTATAATTGGTATAACGTTTAAGATCGATGTATGAACGCGGTACGATAACTGATGTATTGTCTTCTGTTAAACGGAGTACCAAACTACCAATTGTGATAATCGGTTTGTCGTAAATGTCACGTATCTGTTCGCGCATAAATTGCGCCACTAATGACGAACTCACGTATCGCTGATGCTATTTTACGCGTGTGTATCATCGTTTTAAAGCTTCCCTATGGATCTACCAACAGCTGCGATTTATTATCATCGTCGTCATCTTTACGATTTAAGGCCGCGGTTTCGCGTGAGAGGGTAATTTCCTATTGTACTGAATATTTCCTTCACTTATCCTTCGCAATATGTGTTGCCAGAGATAACGTGTCAATGGTTTCTATATGACATGCCTGTTATTTAACATCCATGCTATTTTCAAATATAAATTATAAATTATAAATTATAAAATGGAAAGATTGATTAAAACTGATTGGTATATGTCGTTGTTGACATGATAAATTTAACTAAAGCAATATAGAAACTTGCAAAATGGATCTCGAACAGAGACCGATAAATCATTTCTGGTTAGGCAAGTTACCAATCAACGAGTGGAGTAATTAATTACGAAGTGATATCATTTCCCCGACTTCAACGAAACTTGCACGGACAATTTCGATCCCTCGTTAATTACAAAAGATTAACGGAGTAATTCGGTTGTAGTTTATTTACTTACGATTAGACACAGGGGGATGAATACAAAGAATCAGTCGGTAGATCGTCGTTTAAGCGATGAAAATGGAGGACGAATGCGAGGAAAATGAATAAACGGTGGTGTCTCGTTGAAAGATATTAACGAGCCGTTTACTACGACATATTAGTTGGCTTGTGCCAGCTTGACCCCTCGTGAAAACGGATATAATGGTAGGTGCATATAGGTTACGAACGCGTTGCACGAGCTTATTCTACGTTAGGAGCGATAATTAATAAATTCTTCATTAAAGGGTGGTTGCCGGCTACTAACATGATTTAATGACAGAAAAGTCTCGGGAAATAACGCTTGTACTTTAGCAGCTTAAAATTCTAGGAAAATTATTATATATGTGCACCCTTTACTAATGTTCATAATACAAAATGACTGCTTTTGAAGTGGAAGGAATAGAAACCTCACTATAGGCTGCAATTGATTTATAGCCATTTTGTCTTGAGACCATTAATAAAATGTGCATATATACAGCTATTTTCCTTAAAGTTTAAGCTTTCAATTTATGTGGCGCAAATATAATTTTTTGGTACTTTTAAGTCATGAAATTGTACTGGATGGTAATGCTCCTCCTGAAATTCATTCTTACACTGCCTTCGAATATTCAAATTATATCCCATTAGACGTTTATACTGCGCGTTGATAAATGATAATTAAAGAAGATTAGATAACACTAAAAGTGAATTTATTATTCTGTCCCAGTGTTTACGTAAAGCCATTTTTATGATGCTATTTGATATCAAAGTTGCTGCTCCTAGGTAAATGTTAAAGCAGCCTGGGTGATAAGTGATAATTACAAGTCTTTAGGTTGGTTCTCGTCCATTCTAATTTGCGACATACCTTCCTTGGAACTTTCCATTTATTACACAGGACGTGAACGTAGTAGGGGCTTCTCGTTGCGTAAAATTAGTGAATTGCACCGGGTCTAGCTAGACGAATTGCTCTATTCTTTTACCTCGCTTCCCTTTGATTATACTGCATCTAGATTAGTTTAACATAATCCGGGCTTGCATAAAATTACACGCACCTGACGCTTCTACTTTTCCCTTTTTTATATTATTTCTAGTGCAAACCCGACCCTTGATTTCAACCCTCTATATGTAAATTTTATTCTCTTCAAAGGAAAATTATTTTTAAAATATCCCTTCAAATTTTTCGTTTTTAATAACCCGAAATATTCATAACCCTTTCCAGACCAAATTATTTTTAATTGTAAAATTAAAAGAAATTGTCTTCTCTCAACTTTTGTGAACTGCTACTTTTCTGTAGCATTTAAAAAAAAAAAATGCTGCCATATAGACACACTGAGCTCGAAATTGCAACATTGTCTTTCACCTAATCCTCAATTTCTATTACCCGAAAGGACGTTTCAATTAAATGATCGTATAGAAAACAGTGTTCCATTTGTGCCAATGAAATATCGGCTAACCAGTTTCTGACAAACGCGGCAAATAAAAGAAGAAATCGCGGCGCACCGGATGGCCAGCTGCCGATACAATCTTCTGCTCGTCGAATATCGAAAACATTAGACGTTTGAAAGGGTGAAACGAGTACGGATTTCAAAGGAGCAACCCTGGCTAAAACCCAAAGCTATTTCCCTTTCTTTCTTCGATCCGGTAATCGGTAGAAATCGTACGGCACAGGAACCGGCCGATGTATTGAATTTGTTCTGAAAAGCCGGCTACTATTTTCGTTAGACTATTTTCGCTCGAGGCTTTTGTAAAGGAGATAACGTGGTTAATGGATCCGTGTCGTTATCAAAGTACAATAAACACCAGCAGTAATATATTCCCGATTGTGATAAAGGGAATTCGCTTAAAGCTGTCCCGAATTGTTCAAGTCAAAGAGGATCCACTTAAAGCATGCTTTGTACCTATCGAATAGCAATTACTTCTATGCAGTCAAATAGAATCTAGTAGACAATGTTGTTAATGACTAAGCAAGAGTAAATGTCGTGTAACGACGATAATTATTTAATTAGAAGTTAAGAAGCTGATTGGAAGAATTGGTAGATTTTTTTTATTCGGTATACAGAGTCTTTTTAATCCTTTCAGAAGTGTTTATTTTACGGGTTAGATGTTTCTTTTTAATTTGGGGAAATCGAAAAGAAACTGGTGAAGATCGTTGATATTGCTATCTTTCTTCGATAGATCATCTGTTTGCAGAACGTAATACATTGCAAATATTAACTCTTGGGTTGTTATGATGGTTTTCTGTGAACTCTGTTTTTCATTCGATACTGTGGAATGATTGAATAGGGCAAATTTTTTACTTCTAGATTTAGAAGTAAATTTATATTTTCCTCTTCCAATAAAATTATACTGTATCTAATGGTTGGATTATATTCATTTCGCAAAGTCATTCAAAACACGTCTTATAACTCATCTAACTTGCGTACCTCGACTTATGAAATTTAATTACAGGTTGACTTAATTGGTCAGTTCAACTGGTCCCTCTTAAGATACGAAATTCTACCTTTGCATACTCAAATTTCGAATTCATACGGTGTACGTAAACTGTGCAGAGTGTAATATGGTGTTATGCAATAGAGTATAATATACTCTAATGTGGTAATAAATATTCTAATCTCCTTCGTCCTGACACTATTCTCGTCTAGAACTAACAAGAGTTACGACCCTACGGTCTACGAAGTTCTCTAGCTGCTTAGTTTAACTAACTTCGATCCTTAACTTGACTTAATTTTATGCGAGTTGTTCAATTTCGGATTAACTAAATACCCCTTTAGCTGAAGTTTGTTTAGGTTAATCTGTCAGGTTTGATTCTACAATGATTAGGTGTTAAACTGAGGTTATAGCAAGAGTTTTTGCAATTAAATTTTGGAATTTGGAAATTTTAGAATTTAGGAATTTGGGGATTTGAGAATTTGGAAATTGGCAGATTTGGGGATTTGGAAGTTTGGGAATTTCTAAATTTGG